GAGCGGTGGGGCAGAGCGGCATGGGAGGAAAGGGTGTGAGGTGGCGAGCCCCCGACGCACCTTACTGCGACTTAAATAACTCCGGGCGAGGCGCAGTCGCCAGAACGTGGCGTAAGCCTCCCTGGAAAACGAGAGAGAACTCAAGTATTCTCTGCTCCACAAGAGCCCACTTTCGTGGTTTGGCGAGGAAAAATTGAAACGAAGAATATCGCGATCGCTCTGAAGAGCATACGTTTATCATAGTGGGTTAAACACATTGAATATTCTTCAAATGACGAGACAGCAGTCATATCATCCTGAAATGACATTTAAAAGAAACGATTTTAAAATCCGTTTACAAGAAAAAAACTAATAAAAGTAGATATCACGAGTGAATCGTGACATTGTACTCCCACAGATGAATTCTAACTGGTGAATCATCTTGCAGTTGCTCAATATCTACAATGTAAAAGTAATGCATCTTTTAATTCCTGGACTGGACTTAAATGATTAACTTTATTATTAAATATTTTTCAATTGAATCAGAAGACAGTCATGAAACAAACATTTGGGTTTTTTATTAATGACATCACTAATTGTAGTTCACCGCAACTTTGTATTTTTGCTTGTACAAAAGGTATTTTGCTGCCATTATTAGTTATTAACAATTCATCACCACCTATCGCAATTGTACAATTTGTCACCAATGGACTGCAAAGTTTTGAAAGAGAAGAGGGAAAACCGAGAAAATTAGCATAAAGCACTCAAATAGACGGGTGCGAAGTGAATTTAACTCCTGAAATGATCTGTAAACGCACAGTAATCCGTAATATGATTACATTTGATTGAATGAATAACAATTACTTCAATATTTACGAGAACATGTAGCATATTCTTAATTTTATTCGTTCCTATTTAGCATACCATTGTAGTAGAATGTAGCTGCACATTTCAGAAGTGATTTTAGTTTTTTTGCATAGAGAAAACAATACACTGATAATGATGATAAAAAGGAGGAGACGGAGGAGGAAGAAAGGGAGGAAGAGGAGGAGAAGGAGGAGGGAGAGGACGAGGTTCTCGAGTGTAGGCAAGGGAGCAGGCACAACAACATCTTTCATACCCATTTATGACATACTCTTTCCCGGGCAATCGATCACAGAGGTAGTTTGTCATTGCCTTTCACTGGATGGATGACGGAAGTAGTGTGATCATGAGGGGAGAATAATAGATGAAGTGTCGAGGAAGGGATGATGGCGCAGATGCGATACGTAATGATGTGAGGAAGCAACAACGCCATAACCACATTCCAAAACCCTTGCCCTACACGGGCCCGCACAGATTGCTTTCGGCTCCGCGTATTTACGACCAGCGTATTCAGACTCAACTGCAAGCTGGCGCCTCCCGAGAAGTAGTGACCTAACTGCTACCTTCATCTGCTTCAAATCCCAGACCATCCACGTGGAATTTGTGGTGGGCGGACAAAGCAGGATCGTGCTGGGCTTGCTTACGTTTGCCCTCCCTTCCACTAGAGCTCCATTAACATCCAAATCAAATAATCATAATTTCTCATCTTGCAAACTACCAAAACTATCCATTTCAGGTAGGAGGGAGTTATGAGATGATATTATCCAATTGTGGAACCCTTAATAATCCGTATATCTTCGCGGTTCTTCAGGAAGTGTCCTCACGTTCCTTCACTAACGCCACTTAAATCTGGAGCAGAAATGCTTGGCGCAAAATGCACGAAATGGAGACGACAAGGCATTGTTTTTAATAGAGATCAGCACGCTTTTAATGATTTTTTTCATTTAAATAGAGATATCAAACCATTGACCTTTGATTCTTGCAACGTCATTAGAGTCGAAGTTGTCTGTATGTGTTGTGGAATTCAATAACGTTTCTTTGGAAATAAATAATAATTTTTTTGTATAAATATGTTATATCCCCATGATTTAAGACAATGTCAATTTAGGAGTCCCATTTTTGAAGTTCTATATATTGTTTATTCTGTTACTGTATTTATAGTAATGGACGAAAAATTTATGCTTAAATAAACATGCTTGGATAAAAATAAATTTAAAAAATTAAAGCATTTATAGTTTCACAAATAAAATCCCCAAGTAATATGAAAAATACATTTTCATTATTTTCTACCTATATTACAAAGCGTTTTTTGGAATTTTGAAATAAAAACGAATGTCTGCACGGCATTGTGTTCAGCGTAAATACTCGTGGTCGATGTGTGAGATCGGCAAATAATATAAACGTAGTAATATAAAGTGAAATTATCTCTTACAGAATTAGCAAGAGTCTTTGAAAAACATTAAGTCTGTAAGAAGTTTTGAATTTCTATTTTAAGTGTGATAACAATGAATGACAATACTGTGAATGCAATTCTGAATTACAGTATAATAATAGAAATATATTGAAAAAGTTTCAATTACTTAAAAACTCCAATTAAAAAACGATCCTGAAAGTTATGAAACCATTGAAGAACTGAGCAAGACGGCTTTGGACAGCGCCTCGGCCTTCTGGCCCACTGTGCGCCTCGCGCCGATGGTGCGAAGGAGCGCCGCCACGAGGGTCAATTGTTTTATTTGCCGATGGCAGCAACCTCCAAACGCGATTCCGCTGATCAGACAGTTTCCCAAACTTCCAGTTGCTTTCACGTCAATAACGTCATTCATGAGAGGAAATCGTCTCAGTGGGGATTCGCATTTCTCTCGGCATCGCAGTGCTCTTCTAACTCTCAAAAATAGAACAATACACACCTATGTTTTTCTTTCGTTTTTGCAATTTCACGCATCGTTTTGCGGCAAATTTTTCATTGTAGTATGAGTAAATATTTTCTACAAACTCATAAATTAATCTATAAAGCATATATCAACGAATTTTTCTACCTTTTAAGAAATATTATCTATATCTGTCGTAGTATCTGCGATGCCTTAACGAACAGCATAGATATATTATACATTTAAATTATTTACAATTATTTAAAATGTAATGAATTAAAAAAGTTCTGAACATTTTCAGAAAGAGGATACATCTTTCCTACCACGCCACTTTTGAATCGACATGAAATAACTCGTTCCTAATAATAAGGAACAAAACGTAGTTAATTCTACTTATTCTATTTATTTTGATTTTCCTTTTAAAACTAGAAATATCATATTAACTTCAGATTCTCGTTATTATGACTAATATAATTTGTAACAGTAAACATATACCAAATCTTCTAGGTTTGATTTAGATGAACTATCTTGCGGTTGCAGTGGATATATTCAGGGCTCACAGTACACAATTTTCATAGAAGATTGACTTCATTACAATACAGTTTCACCAATCGCTGAGTTTACGTGTTTACGACTCTATATCTGCTGTTTTCATTCAATAATTTACTTTGCTATAATTATATTTTGGCTTTATTTCGTGATTTGCTTTAAAGTACTAGAAACTGCGAAAACTATAACGAGATGGGAACGAGAGGCTAATAGTCACATATCACACTTTTGGATGCTGCTTTCGTCCCATCCTACTTTTTCGCAGGAGTAATTGCAAGTAAAGGTAATATTTACGGAACAAACTTTTACAATCCCTTCTGTTGTTGACGTATGATGTTATCCATGCGCTGCTCTATCAAAATTTACACAAAATTACAAAAATTATACCAGTGACAGTACCGTTAATTTATTTTTTCTTCCCTAAACTTGATCTTACATATTAAAAGAGAGACATTATTTTTACCTAATGTCCTTAGTTCTATTGATCTAATGGGACTCTGCATTACCGGATGAAAAAATTGGAAACTATCTCGGTATGAATACGAAAAGAGAAGGAACTTGCTATTTGAATTTTTTCTACCATATTTTATCAGTAAGTATACGATCTCAGTAGGTAAAAGAGGAGAATGCATGTTGATAGCTACATCATAAAATTCAATGGTGTCATTTTGTAAATGATTTCGTTTCATTATTTGTTATCACCATATTCCTTATTTCATATTTGTTCGTGCGTCTGACGTCTCTGTAACTCATCCGGAATTTCAGAGACAAACTATTCCAACGGACGCAAGGTGACTTCTGTAATACTACGCATTGCAATTTCAGTGCTAAAAATACTGAAACAGTAGAGGATTTATTGCTAAGAAGCTACGCATCCGCAAGAAATACACAATGCAAATGTCTCACGTACGTCAAAGCAGGTCCTGACTGATGAGCCGCCAACGCGAATCCTGCGACCTCGAACAACTGGATGTTATTTTCACCGGGCTCTTAAAATTCCTTTTGCGTCAGAACTTTTCTGCGAGTGGTGCGCACGGAAGACTTCCATACGCCTCGACGTAGCCCGGGTGCCGAACTTACCCTGACGGCGTCCGACGACATGGCGCACTTCACACGAGGGCTGTGCTCGGGCGTACGGGGGCGCTGCCGGTGATTGGGGGCCGGGGCGACTGCCGCGCTCTGCTGGGAGGCGTAGGGCCGTAGGCGATATGCCGGCCGCTGGGTCTAAGTAGAATGTAGCGGCGTGGAGCGCTCTGGGGTATAAATACGGCCCGACTGTTGCGTCACAGCGTACAAGCACGGCAGGGTTGTCCAGGCGCCCCAGCAATACGATGCGGCGCCGTTCCTGGTTCCTGCCACCCCCGTCAAAGTCCTCAGTATTCCTTACGCACTACAAATGTTGCGCAGCCGAAATTGTAAATTCTCGTTTACGTCGCTCCAATCGATCCAAGAACCCGGCGCTGTATGTCGAGTGGTTTAAAATGCACAATTTAATAATTTACTGTTGCTATTTGTCAAATAATATTTATTACCAATTTACTATGCGCGCAGATATTGAAATAACACTATACAGCCTCTGGCCATGTATGTGAGGTCTATGGTTTTGTTAGATACATAGGAACTTAGGAAAAATACTCAAAAACAACGAACTATCATTTACATTACTTATTTATTATATGCGCAGAAATTGAAAGGAAACTATGTAACTTCCAGCCATTTGTGAGGGGTCTAAGGATTTATTAGATACCTAGGAAATCAGGGGGGGGGAAATCTATCCATATTACTAATAAGGAATACTAACTTCCGATGTAGTCATAAATTGAAAGAAAATTATGCATCCTCTGGCCATGTGAGAGCGATCTAAAGTTTTGTTCGATACCCAGGAAAAGTCCAAACCAATGAAATAGTTTCGCTTTTGCCTAAATATGAAAATATTTGATTGCGTTATTTAGCCTATTATCAAATTTCGCTCTCCGAGTGAATTTGCATAATAAGTGCGTAACTGCTTGCGCCACAGATGGCGTCTGCGACAGCAAGACTCCAAGGATCAGGCACCGGAAGAGGTAGCTCAGGTCATCAATTGATTTCACTGCTGTACCTCTGACCCGGAGGTCCTAGGTTCAAGTCCCGACGGTGGCAGGGATTTCGACACTAGCTAGAGAGCTAGGTCGAATTCACTCGCTGTCTGGAGGAGAATTCTAGCGTCCGGCTGTTCTGGTTTTCGGTAGTTTTCCGTGGTTTCTCCGATCAAAACCAGGCGAATAGCAGAGGAGTACCCTAAGAAACGGGGCACGGACCGCCCGTGAACTTTCCTTCTCCTTACTAGTTCTATCCTCACCTCCTAACACATTTACACTTGCATGCACTACACTAGTATATACGTCTGAAGCCGGTAGGGAGGTTGTCCCGACTAGAGTGGTGTCCCGCTGGTCGGAGATATCTGGTTGTGAAAAGTACGTTAGCAGACGGTAGGTCGGCGCTGGATCTCACCATCCAGCTAGGAAAGATCACAGGCACGTAGCAAAGAAAACACTTGCACTACACTAACTGAACTAATGACCTTAGCAGTCGACGCGCCCGGAATCATGAATCAAAAATCTTTCCAAGGATCATGTGCTTCCCGACAATTTTCTATTCACGTAGTGCGTCATGGATCAGCATGATTTTCTGATATTCTTGGAATGTAAAGATGTAGTATTATGTCTGTATTATTCTATCTTATTGTACTATTCTTGACAACTGTTTGAAAACACTTAATTTATTGCAGCGTTATAGTATTTCATTTGCTGTTCTTGAATAGTGTGCGTGCTAGTTTTTGTAAAACCATTTTGCGTGATTTGTGCGCAGAATTTTGCTGCCGCATGGCCACTAGTAATATTTTAATTACGATTAATTTATTATTGCATTTATTTTATAGTAAACTCGTAATAACAATTACGTCTTAAAAGTTTCACTCTAACATACTTCGAGGGCAATATATATTTTTTAGGATATGATATACTCGCAACGTGATGATCGTAAAACTGAACCCATCAGACTTTCGTTTTCAGGTCGGATACAAATGAAATTTAACTTATTATTCTTATATTTCTTCATTTACAAACTGGAGAGCATACACAATGAAATTTCTTTTGAGTAAAAGATAGTTTGTAAGCAACATGCATCACTTTTCACTGACAATATTTTAATAGTAATGGTCCTTGACATATTTCCTTATAGGGTTCTAATGGCTATAATTCTACGTTTTCCCGTCGTTTATTTACACCACCATTTATCAGACAGCGAACGGGATATAAAATGGTCGTCATTTTGTTTAATCCCACATCACGCAACGTCCTGCTCCGGTCTGTTCCACTCCGGTCTCCCCGCCCGTTCTGGTCGCTTCAGCCCGTCCCACCCCATCTCACCCCCTCCCGACGCACCCCGGTCCTGTGCCACGTCTGAACCACTGCCCGTACCAGTCCCTGTCCGTACCGCTGCAAACAATCCCTTAATACATGAATGCAGTGCGGGTTGCATTAAAACAAATTTAACAAAACGTCTTTGGGGTTAACATTTACATCTCAACTCAGACATTTTGGTTCTCAGCCGTTCAAAAGTATTTATGCCAACAATGGAAGAAATCACTCCAGTCGTTCATACGTTTTAATGGTGTATACCTCTCTTACAAATAATCACATTCGCACTTACACCATACTACGTCTTCGCAGAAAAGAGAATTAATGCTGCAGCGGAAAAGGGCGATTTTTCGACACTCAAACTTGTATTTGGCACACTAGTATCGAACAGAGTATACGTAATGTTCGTGAATGTATCAAATTATTTCTTCCAACATGTTGTGTAGTCAGAATCCACGTTTTGTGGGCCCTTGCTACCGAAAAAATGGTTGACGGAGAAACGTCTGTTTGTCTAACCGTCCGTCCCTCCATTCGTTGGACTTTTATCAACGCTAGCCACTCAGTTCGAACGAAATTCTCTATAACTGTGTTTACTCTATCGATCTGGCGAGGCATGAAGCCCTGAGAGTTTGAACCCAATATTTTCATTCTTGGGGGTACTTTACATGAAACTAAGATTTTCAATCCTTTCTCAATATATCTCCAAATTTTTTGATTAAACTTTTTCCTCGGATTCACACAAAACTTTTAAAAATGACGCAGATCTTATTTTTATTAAACGCACTGAATTTTCGAAAATTGCAAAAGTTCACATTTATTCTGTATTTCTACATCTACAATTCTGAAGATATATAATTTTTTTCTTAATGAAATACATTTTTCAAAGCCATCTTTAAATAAAGTCATGTACATTGTTCGAAAATATCAGTGGTATTTACTTCATGTTGCGTTAAATGATAGCACCTGAAAACAAGTATATTCTCAAAACTTTTTCCAATTTTTCCTTCCCATTTTCTTTCTCCTTACTAGGAATGTAATAAGGAGAAAGTATTGAAACTGTGCGGCGAAAATCGGCGATTTTTGAACAGTAAAATCTCTTACTCTCTTATTAGATTCTAAACGGGAACTGGTAACGAAAAAGAGGATAAAAAATTCTTTGCTGTATGTAGAAAATACAATAACTTCCTCTGAACGAGTAATCAGAATGTATGTTTTGTAAGCCCTTGATACCCCAAAATCGACTGACGGCATAACATGTGTATTTGTCTGCCCGTCTGTCTGTGGTCAACACTAGTGCCTACAGCGTTCACCCGATTTTCTCAAAAAGTGAAATTCTCCGATCGATCTCGACGAAATAGAGGCCCTGCGAGATTGAAACGTCTTTTTGTTCTCTTTATTTTCAATCTCATCAATGACTAAAACTATTAGCTACTATAGTGATTTTTAGCATGTGATAAAAATTATGATTCCATCCATCATTATATTACAATAAGTATCATAACATGTAGATCGTAACATACTATAGGATCGCATATTATTTATCTTACATAACATACTTGTAATCATACAGTATCATGAGGACATGATAATAATATATCGGGTGGTATTAATAAAAGTGATAAATTGCTCATTACTAGAGATTTTGAGCTCATTCCTGAGCGTTTGCTCCAGCTCGAGCATTTGCTCTGATGCAAGCAATTACTCCGGGTTTCGTATGAACAATGGAGAGCAAATGCTCAAACGAAGAAATTACTTGTTTTTCTGAGTGATCTCCAAAGCTTGCTTAGGGTACCAAAGAGAAGTTATGTTTGTTTATCGACGATGTTCATACGAATCAGAAACGTATGAACATTAGTAAATACATCAAGATCTTTTGTAACTGAATTCAAACGGCAGAATTCATACAAAGTCGTGCGATGAAACTATAGAAAGAGAGAAAAAATCTGATCCGAGGAACTACAAAAGTCTCTTCTGATTTGAGGAGAAAAAGTTGAATGGGTGAACAGAGAATTTTTGAAGGAAAATTATGAGACAAGAGAGCCCCTTTTGAGCAATATACAAAAAAAAAGGATTTTTTCTTTGATATTTATGAGATTCTAGACTCCGCAGCGGTGTAGCAGAAGACACTGGGGGCTATTAAATAGATTCCTTTTTTTTCAACCTTTAACATTTATGGGTTTGTTCCCCGTTTTGTTAAGATCGGTTTTAGCCTTCACTAGTTATTTCTTCTTTCTCCGTGAAATCAAGGTCGTGTTCGCCAAGCGCTTGCCGAATATTTGTGTTTGCTTCCGCCTTGCGGCGTCTGCTCGCAGGAAGGTAGCTTCTACTTAATAGCACGGGGTATTCTTTGAGTAAATCAACAAACAACAATCTGAATTGCTTTGTGACTCCATTTCTACACCAAACCACTCGTTAACTACAGTGGCTACAGCGTGAGAGAGAATACACAGAGCCTATGTCAAAAAGTCTCAGAACTTCAGTATATCCAAAGGCCATTCAAATATTCATATATAGAATCTCTATGAAAGACGTATTTGCTCAACTCTGCTCATCTGAAGAGAAAATAACACTTTATACATAAGAATCTAAGTAACTACTCAGATTTGATTAACCTTAGAGTAATTGCTCGTTTCTATTAATACCACCATCATCTCGAGAGTCATGAGTGAGCTTACCATAATATTTTATTTTTAGTATGACATTTATTTTAGTTTATTATTTGAAAATTTGATAATCTGGTTTTGAAAGGGAATAAAGTATTTTTCTATTTCATTTGAATTCTTCTTCTTCATTTGGCGCTACAATCCGATCTATCTCGGCCTGCTCACTTATTTTACTCCACTCCTTTCTGTCTCATGCTTGTTTCTTCCAGTTCTTAATCTCCAGAATTTTTAGGTCATGAAGCACGTCGTTTTTCCATTTGATTATCGGCCTTCCTTGTTTTCGAGTTTTTAGAGGCTTAATATTTGTTAGTGCCTCTGTTAGAACCCATTCTGTCTAGATGTCCAAGTCAAGATATCCTTCTGGA